CAGATTGCGGGTGCGGAGGGGACATCCCTCCCCATCCCTCTTTCCCCTTCCCTGGAGCAGAGTTACCCCGAGGTAAAGCCCCATTCCCCCGCCCGGCTGCTGTCAGGGCTGGATTGCGCCCATGGGCGCGGAGCTGCGCGCATCTGGGTCGTGTCGGGTTTGAAGAGCGTGTTTACACAGCGGGAGAGTTTAAAACACGGCCCGAGAGGCGATAAAACCGGGCCTTTAAATCATCCTGCCCTTCATCCAGTCCCTTCCACATCTGCTGCGGGGCCGGGATCTGCCCTCCATGTGATGCTGCCGGGCCCCATAGGGGCAGGACCCCTCTCTTACCTCCACCTCCTCACGCGTGTCACCCCCTTCTCCATCCCTCTTTAGCCCACTTTTCACTGCCCTGCATCCAGAGGAAGGGACACCCGAAGGTTTAAATGAGAGCTGGGTGTTGATCCGAGGTGTACCCGGAGGGTTGCAAAGGGTGTTAAAAAGGGCTGAGTGCAGCGCGATAAAACCTGGGCTTAGTCCTAGCTTGGGAGGACTCAAAATGCACCGAGAAAAGGGAGTTTCCCCCTGGTTTATCCCCTTCCACCCCACTTTGGAGCCAGGCCCGCGGCTCTGCATCCCTTCGAGTTAAGGCTGAGCCAGCTTTGCCACGTTCCTTCTGCAGCAACAGCGGGCCAGGGCTTCTCTTTCCCCAAACTCCCCCCTAAACCCCTCCAGTTGGGGCTGGATGAACTCTTTTTTAGGGGGAAAAACGACTTCATTTTTATTCCCCGTCCCTACACAGAAACTTTCCCCATCCCCTTCTCCCGGCCTAAGCCATCCAGAAGGATTATGGAGCCCAGAAGTGGATTTACAACCAGAGGGGGTCTGGGGGGGACGACACACACACACACACGATGATGTTAATCGTTCATATTGTCATCCCCAAGGAAGATTTCCATGGGGTAAGAGCATTAAGCACCGCTGAAAGCAGAAGCCCTCTCCAACAGGAGGGCTCGGGCTCAAGTTTGTGTATGTTTCCACCCCATACAATAACATCTCTAGATCTGCTAATGGGCCCTTTGCAACCCTTGGACACTTTCTCCTTCAACTTTCACTTTCTCTTCCCCCCCCCCCCCCCCCCAAAACACGCCCTTTCCCCAATCCAAGCCCAATGTTTTCTTTTCAACTTAACCCAGGGTTCAGCAATTACCCGGTGGGTCAGTGTAAAAGTCGTCTTTGTCTATGAAAAGTCAAGGAGAAACCTTAGCTCCTGTATATACATCACTTAAAAGCATCCTCCAGCCGGGTTCTCCTCTGCCTCCAAGAGCCCCCCCCTACTCCTAGAACCCCCTCCCGAGCTCAAACAAAGATTTTAAGCCCGGAATAAAATGGATTCGAAGGAAATAACAGGGAGAAAACCCTCCCCAAGGCCAACAAATGAGGGAAGAGCCCAGATGCGGTCACACGAACTGGGGTGATCTGGGGAATAAAGGGGGAAGGGGGTGTCTGTTTTTGGGGGGGGTTTATGGGGAGCAGAGCTGCGGGGTCCTGTTAAAGCACAGGAGGAGATGGAGAGGGGAGCGGTGTCACTTGGTTACTGGTGGATTTGGTTTAAACGATCGCTTTCTGATACAAGGGTTGGGGGGGGGGAGGCAAAAAGGGAAAGGGGAAAAGGATAAAAGGAAATAAGAGAAAAAAGATAAAGAAAATGAAGAAAAAGGGAGAATAAAGAAAAAGGGAAAAATAAAGGGAAAAAAATAAAATAATTATAATAATTGAAAAAAAAATGATTAAAAAGGGAGGAAAAAAGGTGTCTTTCCTACCAAACAGCAAGTTTCACCCTTGCTGAGCTCCTGCTCCACCGAGTCCCGAGGAGCTCTGGGGCTGATGCGCCGATACCAATTAAACGAGGACTAAGATCTGGGCTCATTTGTAGCCCAGCGAAGCCTCGGCGAGGAGGGGGCTTCGCTCCGACCTCCTTCCCTTTCTTTTTTGGTCCCCTTCTCCTTTGGCGACGGGGCCGAGAGGAACAAAAACCAACAATTTCTCCGGCATAAAAATGAAACATCAAATTAGTTTGCCTCTGGGCTTCATTTTTCCCCTTCTACATTATAACTAGTTATTGAACTCGCTAGAAGATCTAAAGGCCATTTGTGAGGAGAGAAATTTCAATGGAGTTCCCCCATCAATAACTCCTTGGCAGTGACCTATTGGATCAAGTCAAACAGTTGAGGTGAAATTCAGGTCACGCTGTCTCACCAATATTAAAATGCGGGCACTTTTTAAAAAAGCCACTTTCAACGAGATTCGAGGAAAATTGAATTCCTGGGGGGGGGTGGGGGGGTGGAAGAAAAAGGGGGAGGGGATGGGAGAACCTGGTTTGCATATTTTAGTTGCTGTTTGGTGGCAAAGCGGAGGGATTCGTCTTTGCAGGCGTTAAAACGAAGGGATAAATATTTACGTTATTGGTTCGGTCGAGAGCAAAGAGGCTCCAAAGAAAAATGGGCAGGCCAGGAGTTTGGGTGACAGCCCTTGCTTATTAAAATCGTTTGAGGTCGATTCATTACTTCTACTGACAACAGATTTAAAGGGGTTGGGGGGGGGGGGAAGCACAAAAATCAATTAACCATTTGCATATCCCTTTGCATGGCTTAGACCTTGTCTGCTGCTTGCGTTGGGAAGGGACAAAAAGCCAAAGGGCTTCTTCGCCCTCGCCGCTTTCGAGTTGGGAGCTAAAAAATGGGGGTTTCAAGCGTTATTTGGCGTTGATTGTGGTAGGGAGAACGCAACTGTTTAATAGCAAATATAGACGTGGGGTGTGTGTGTGTGTGTGTGTTAGTTCTCTTTAGATCATCACCTTAAACCCAGCTCGCAATAAAACTCCGCTCCCAATTTGATCGCCACCTCCCGCATCCCAAGGAGGCAGGGTTCACCCTCGGCGAGCTTTTCCCCCTTCGCTTTCCCTATTCTTAGGGAACACGGGATAACCAACCCCCAGTAGATAGGTACTTCATTTTTTGCTGGAGAGCACAGATTGCTAATGGGCCGCGGTACAGGTTACCAAACGGTCAGTATGGTAATAGCCAGCACAATGAATCCGGAGAGACAATGCATCCTGATTTTTCTTCAGTACTGTCAAAAAGGCGCTTTGTACTTCCAAATCCCCCCGCGACACTAACCACTTCTCTATTTCCCACCCTCGCCCTAGGTAGGAGAAGGAAATAAAGCCCGAAATGAGTCAATTTTCATGTTTCCCACCCCAGTTTTTCTGCCTGGTTTGGGTTATTTTTTTTTTTTGCTGCATTTTTTCGCTGCCGAGGTGCTGCGTTTCCTTGGGTTTTGTCCCTCCCCAAAGTGTTTCTCGGCACGGTGGTGGGGGGACGAGGGATGGAGAGCGGTGGGAGGGCTGCTTTATAGACAAAAGAGCCAGATTCTTGTACAACTATTCTTCACACGTCCCTGCAGACTTATTTTACAGGGAAAAAGACAAAAAAAAGAAGGGGGGGGGGGGAATTGCGTTAAATAAATACAAAATCCACTTTAACAGGAGGCACCGGTTGACTCTGGTTAAAAGGCGAAGGGAGGGGGGAAATATGAAGGCAAAAACAATAAAAAAGAGGAAAATAGGCATTTTTGGGGGTGCGTTTGTAAGAAATCCGGAGGATTTCTGTCTGATTTTTAGGGTTTTTTGTTTGTTATAAGAAACGCCCCCCCCCCCCATAAACCAACCCCAGGAGCAGAGGATGGAGCAGCGAGTCTTAAAATTAGATTTATCGAGGTGGGAACCAGGGGGTGCAAAGGGGAAGGGGGGGTATAAAGTTGAGTTTCCCCCGTTAAGAAAGCGACAGAGTCCAGAGCCGCCCCGTTTGTGACCTTCACGCCTGGGATTATTCAGTGCTTGGATTTGGTGCCTGTTTGTTTCGTGCTTTATTTCCCTGTTCTTCTTCTAATAATAATATATATTTTTAAACATCTAGCATAGCTTTAAGAGAGCTACCTGTGGATATTTATTTATTCTACTGGTGCTTATTGAAACCCATATATTTTAGGGAGGGGGGGAGAGAAGGAAGGATGTGCGTAGGTAAAAATTACTTTATTAACTCTCCATCTTTATTCAATATTCCCTCAGCCTTGGAATAAAGTTGTTGCATCAGGGCTCAACTATAAATGTCAAAGCCCTGCATGACTCTGAGGTGTTGGGGCAGGATGAAGTATAGCTGGAGAAAAGGAATTTATTGGATCTATTGAAATCAATGCTTTGGGCTCCGGAATACGTTTCTAAGCACGGAGGCGGGTTGGTTTTTTGCCCCAACCAGCTCCCATCCGCCTTCACTCCCTATCCCAAAAGCTCAGGGGGAAGAGGGAAGGGTTTGACTTTGTATAGGGGGATATATACAGGCGGTTCTATAGGTAAAACAGGGATTTACAACTTTAGGAAGGAACAAGCTCTGCCCGTGAATGGGGCCAGCAATTAGCCAAGCCCTGCAAATCCCTCAATAAACCTCCCCCCCCCCCAAAAAAAAAGGCCTAAAAAAGGCCAATTTAAGCCCAAACCCCCACCTAGGGTCCTCCCAGGGATGCGGAGCTGGTGTCCAGGGGGGGGTCCCCCCCCCCCGCAACCCTCCCCGTCGCCTATATGTACCCTGTAGACTCGAATTTGTGTGAGCGTCTCCCAGTCACAAATTCGTCTCTAGGGGAATATATGGGCGATGCCAGAGCCTTGGAAAGTTCTGCTTTCCTCTTAATTGCGGCGTTCCTAATTAAATCCTCCTGATGGCACTTGCTAAGGGGCGGGGGGGGGGAGACAAAGTGGAAGCGCGGGGTTGGTCTTTGCCAGGGCTTGATAATAATAATAGTCATAATAATAGCAATAGTAATAATAATAATAGAAAGAAGATGGGGAAGAAAAATAAAGGGGTAAAAAAAGAGGGGAAAAAAAGGGAAAAAGCAAATGATTGGGGGGGGGGGGGGGCTGATAATCATCCAAATAAACCCCCATTACTACTTTTCCTCTCCAGAAGAAGCAGCAGCCACCGCAAACACAACTCTGAGCCAAGAGCACAAAGAGCCCCGACCATTTCGCGGTGACTGATTTATGGCGTTTTACAACCCCATAAAAAGCTGTAACAACCAGCCAAAAGCCTTCGACACCGCTGGCACATTTAGTCTAATAAATAAAACATAAACAGTTAACTTTATGTGTCACTTTTATTGTTATCAAGTAAAATATGGCAATGCCCTGCAAGCTATGATTTTCAGCTATAATTGTTATCAAGCACAAGGAGGGAATACCCCACCTCCCTCCTCTGCCCCTCTCTTTAGGGCGAGATGGAGATGGAGAAATCAGAAGGGAAGCTCTAATTGAGGCAGCTGAAAAGCCGCCCAAAGTGGTGACATCCATCTGCAGCTCCCCGACCTGGGCTGGGGTGCTGGGAGCCATTTTTAACGTGTCCCTCTAGCTTTAACCCCAAATCACATCTATACGGCTCTATAGTGCCTAGATATATGGGGGTTTGTGTATCTATATGTAATTTCATATATAAATATGTATATACCCCCCCATATATATGGATTTTTGAGTGTATATATGTAATTTCATATATAAATATAGATATATACGCCCCTACCCGCGCCCGAGCTTGAGGATGGGGAGGTCAATGCCCAAAGCAAGGGTCAAGA